TAAGGTATTAAAAAACTAACTATTACAATATTTTTTTAATTTTATTATTTTATTTGTAGATATGTAATGATTCATCTCTAATGAAAATTCCAGACATTGAACATTAGGATCAAGTGAGCTTCTTTTATTGTAAGTGTTAATAAATTCTAGAAACTTGACTACAATTTAGTAGTATATGTAGATTAATGTAATATTTGGACTTAATATATAGTTTGATATACAAATTATGTATTAAACATTATTAGACAATTTAATGTTTAAAATGAATTTCATTTTGTTAGTTGAATTGAATATATGTTTATTTCATATTATATTGATTATAAATGATTTGATGAGATGATAATATAGAAAATTTATTGTAAATTAATTGGATGTCAAATGTAATAACATTTAAAAAAAACAAGTTTTTATAACATATATGTCATAATATGTTAGTTCTTAAAACCAAGTAAAAATATTTAAGTTATAAAAACAAATTATGACAGATAAATTCATTTCCATCATAATAAATTTATCATATTATGACTAATAAGTAAAAATATGTCATAATAACTGAATGTATTATGATAGGAGATAGAAAGAACTTATTATAACGTATTTTTCTCTTAGGTCATAAAAAGCGTTAAATCTGTTATAACTGTAAGAACATATTACGGTGTATATGTTTATAACGTATTGTTCACTTGTCATAATAAATCATTTTTACTCGTCATAAAAAATTATTTCTAGTTCACTTTAATGATTAATTTTTAATAGCTCAATACATAGATTACTTTTAAAAGAAATTACATGTAAATTAAAATTGTAGAGAATGAGATGATGCAATCCATAAACGTACTCAAACGCAATAAAATCCAATAAAAACGAGGATGATTATCAAAGCTCACACATTTCCTACTCTTACTAATTATCATACTTAATTACACTAATTAAAACATAGATGAACATTAACATCATTTGTGTATAAACTGGTTTCAAACACCTGCAATCGTCTTCTGTTCTTGGCCAACTTATTCAACAACTCAGCCAAGTTTTTCCTCTTTTTCGATTCTTTTACTGTGTCTGAAGGAGGTGAAAATGATGAACAAGATTCAAAGTTATTTCGCTTCAAACCTTTCATCATGCTAACAGGTTTCAGAGACACATCAGAATCAATAAGATGAGGAAAATTTAACTTAGCTTTGCTACCACGCATCTTAAATGCAGCTCTATCATAAGCCAAACCAGCTTCTTCTTCAGTTTCATAAGTTCCAAGCCAAATTCTCGCACCATTCCTCTTCGGATCCCTTATCTCGGCAGCAAACTTCCCCCACGGCCGTCGCCTCACACCCCGGAAACGCTTCCACACCGGCGGCGCGTGACCCTCACGCGTCTTTATCAACAAGTTATTATCTGCATCATGGACAACCTCCGAAGTAGGGCTTGGGAGTGGTTTGTACATTGGAGAACGCAAAACTTGGTGACTGTAAACGCTCATGAGAGTGTTGGAACAATCTGGTTCGAGCTCAAGAAGATAGTGTTGAATAGATTCCAAGGATGAGAAATCACATGATGACGATGATGTTGTTGTTGTGGTGGCCATGTTTTCAAAGGTGGTGTTTTTGTTTAACAACTTTGTGGTTACTGAGAATAGTTTGATGTGTATTTATACCACTAGGTTTTGCTTTTTGGTGTTTGTTGAAAGTTTGAACATCGTGGGGATAATTTCTTTCTTTAATGATTCTTTCATGTGAGATGTTTCTTTGAAGCTACAAGGAGTGTTTGAAATAGCTTTGAAACTTGAAGTATCAGAATCACCCCCACGTGTGGTTTGTTCATATTATGTTATTTTCTTCTTTTTCTAATGGAAAAATCTCAAAAAACTATGAGACTTTGACACGAATTGGTGAAAACAATTCTTATTTACTTCCAAACACAAATGCATCTTTAACTATGATTTGACACATTATATAATTTAAATTTATACAAGAAAAATAATATTTTTCACCAACATAAATTTTTACCTTCATTTTATATTATTTTTTATTCTTTTTTCTTTCTTAAAAAGATACAAAAATTTATATTTTTGTGACCATTTTATTCCTGTACTACGTATCAAACGAATATAAAAAGTATCTCGTGAGGATACAACTATTTTTCATAAAAAGATTCATACCACTTCAGCTTGAATCTTAACAAAAAAAAAGTTTATAAATTCTTTTTATAAGATATTAATAACGGATTCATACCACTTCAACCTGAATCTTAAAAAAAATTATAGATTCTTGTTATAAGATATTAATATTTTCATTTTTATTGAATTTATCTTCAAATTTTAGTTATTAAATTTTCGTCGTTCATTGTTTATATAGGTCGATTTGGTTTTTTTTTTTGAAATGTAGTAATTTCTTTAAACTATATTTTGACCATTAAAAAAAGATGTTTTGTGAACACAAAATATTCCTTCTTCCCTTAAAAAACACTCTTATGCTTAAAATAATAAAAAAAAGTAATAATATTTTAATGGGCATTAGTTGTAGTTGAAGGCAAGTAATTAATCATTTTCATCATTCAAGTAAAAGCTTAAGATGGGCAATAAGAAAATCAAAATCTTCTTTCCCAATAATGGAAGTAGGAAGCAATTTAGGGTTTAACACAATATGAAAACTTCCCCATTTAGTCAATAACATGAAGTGTATTATGATATGACCCAAAAATTGTTGACCCAATGAAATTTTTTTGTTACATAAAATATAAAATATAAAATAAAAACTAAATATAAAACAGTACAAAGATAGATTCTTTGTCACCTTAGTGATTGTAATCTTGCCCACCATTTTTGAACCATAAGATAGTAGTCAATGGTTGACCAATGGTCTTCTTTGTCTTCATATAATATTATTATGTGGATAGATAAACTTTGTGTACATCAATCATTATTTATTCAATGAATACCTAACTTTTATTATTAGTTTTATAATAAAACATGTGTAAACATAACCTCCTTTTTTTCTCTTCCAGATGCTTGTAGAAGAAAGAGTGCTACTAAACATGTGTATAATTAAAATCAATATTAGTTTGGGTCACTTTGATTAATCATTGATAAAAAAATAATTTTAAATTTATCAAGAAAAGCATTGGACTAATTAATTTAAATCTTTCATTCCAAATTCTTATAAGACAACTTAAAAGACTGAAAACGTAACTCTATAGACATAAACAAAGTTTTCTATTTGAANTCTTTCTTAAAAAGATACAAAAATTTATATTTTTGTGACCATTTTATTCCTGTACTACGTATCAAACGAATATAAAAAGTATCTCGTGAGGATACAACTATTTTTCATAAAAAGATTCATACCACTTCAGCTTGAATCTTAACAAAAAAAAAGTTTATAAATTCTTTTTATAAGATATTAATAACGGATTCATACCACTTCAACCTGAATCTTAAAAAAAATTATAGATTCTTGTTATAAGATATTAATATTTTCATTTTTATTGAATTTATCTTCAAATTTTAGTTATTAAATTTTCGTCGTTCATTGTTTATATAGGTCGATTTGGTTTTTTTTTTTGAAATGTAGTAATTTCTTTAAACTATATTTTGACCATTAAAAAAAGATGTTTTGTGAACACAAAATATTCCTTCTTCCCTTAAAAAACACTCTTATGCTTAAAATAATAAAAAAAAGTAATAATATTTTAATGGGCATTAGTTGTAGTTGAAGGCAAGTAATTAATCATTTTCATCATTCAAGTAAAAGCTTAAGATGGGCAATAAGAAAATCAAAATCTTCTTTCCCAATAATGGAAGTAGGAAGCAATTTAGGGTTTAACACAATATGAAAACTTCCCCATTTAGTCAATAACATGAAGTGTATTATGATATGACCCAAAAATTGTTGACCCAATGAAATTTTTTTGTTACATAAAATATAAAATATAAAATAAAAACTAAATATAAAACAGTACAAAGATAGATTCTTTGTCACCTTAGTGATTGTAATCTTGCCCACCATTTTTGAACCATAAGATAGTAGTCAATGGTTGACCAATGGTCTTCTTTGTCTTCATATAATATTATTATGTGGATAGATAAACTTTGTGTACATCAATCATTATTTATTCAATGAATACCTAACTTTTATTATTAGTTTTATAATAAAACATGTGTAAACATAACCTCCTTTTTTTCTCTTCCAGATGCTTGTAGAAGAAAGAGTGCTACTAAACATGTGTATAATTAAAATCAATATTAGTTTGGGTCACTTTGATTAATCATTGATAAAAAAATAATTTTAAATTTATCAAGAAAAGCATTGGACTAATTAATTTAAATCTTTCATTCCAAATTCTTATAAGACAACTTAAAAGACTGAAAACGTAACTCTATAGACATAAACAAAGTTTTCTATTTGAACTAACTTACTTACGTTGGTAAATAACTATTAATCGTTTAACCATAATTGGCTTAGTTGTAATTTTAATTTTTATATTTTATAAATTTTTATTTTTAACTTTTTTTTAAATAGCACTTCTTTAATCATTAATTATCAATAATTGTGATATCTAATTTTCTTACATAATTTCATCCTCTAATTTATTTATTTGTCTTTTACTATTTCATCCTTTACCATTTTAATTATCTTTCACTTTTTTTTTCAATTATTCGTAACTCTATTTTTTTTTTGTTATTTTGTGCATAATAAATTAATATTGAAAAGAAAAACACATTATACTTGTGATATTTTTTCATATTAAAGACTACAAAATTAATGATAGTGGCTATTTTGAAATTCAAAATTAAAAAATGAAAATATTTTGTGTAAAACTCAAAACCAAAAGTACATTTAATTAAAAATGAACTTGTTAAAAAATGAACTTTAAACCCTCGATCTCATAAAACTGATATGTAAGATGAGGTTTGTATTCACTTGTATAATATGAATTGAACTTATATTTTTTTTTTCTTTTAGGACGAAAAAAGGGTGCAAATCTGAATTTGAGAATCTAAAATTTGAATTTGAATTTTATCAATAATATATAGTCAATATTTTGAAATTCAAAATTAAAAAAATGAAAATTGTGTGTAAAACTCAAATCCAAAAGTAAATTTCATTAATGAACTTGTTAAGGCTGAATTTTAAGACTAACTCAATTCCATAAAACTGACTTATAAGATGAAGTTTGTATGTATCC